AAAAAAAGAAACAAATAGAAAAAACTAAAGCTTAGGCAACTGCTTTGAACCATGCGTGCGTAATCGTGGGAGTGCATCTACGATTTTATTTTAAGTACATACATACATACATGCACACATACAACGCATAAAATAGTTGATGATAACGACCAAAGACTAATTGTTTACAAACTGAAAAACAAAATTATCAAACAAACTCGGTCACGTGCGTACATACATGTGTACGTAAGTGTTTACACGATCCAAATTAAGTAGTTTGTAAGTCTAATCTTATGCCAGGCGAGTAAAATTAATAGTCCTCCATGCAGGTGGCACAAAAAAAGACAGAATAAACGAGCATACAGATATGCTAAATATATATATATATATATATTTATATATATAGATTCTCATACATAATGTCTATGAATGTATGGGTGGGTGCCTTCCTAAAAATGTGTAAATAATAATATTAGTACTAAATTGGCTGAAAAATAATTCAGCATTATTCATCCATTTGAGTCCCCTATATGTATTTATGTCAAAACTAATACATATGTATTTCTGTTACTCTCCAATTTCATGATGAATTCTAGGAAATTTTCACAAATTATGACTTCTGAGAGTTTCATAAATACATACACCATACCTTGAGATGCGTCACATATATATGTATGTATATTGAAAAGAGTATAGTCAAGCACAAACCCTTCACTGAAACCATTTGAAAGAAAACAAATTTTCAAATAGAAATTTGATCTGGTACAGATTCATGCGTGAATACACACAGTGACTTCAGCGAATGATCGGACAGCGAGGAGAAGATTCTGTTCTGACCGACAACGAAAACACTTGAAAACGAGTTTTGGGATTGTGGGCTAAAGGCTGTTCACACCGACTGTTGGTGTTTTCGTTGACATTTACATTACATCCTTTGTTTACAGTTTTGCTGCACAAATACAAAACCAAAATACTTTTCCTTCAATTTCTTTTCATTAACAACCTTTTACTTCCATGCTTATTTTATTTTGGTCAGCCAATTAACAATAAATCCGAAATGACGTATTAAAAATGATAAAATATGATTTCCACTTCGATAAATAATCGAAAAAAACTAGTGCAGACACCGAGTGGAACGTGAGTTTTCAAGTGGTTTTCAGCGAAAACTTGTTTTCGTTTGACAGATTTTACATTGACGAAAACACAAGTTTTAGGTCGAAAACCAGTTTTAGCAACGAAAACATGTTTTCGATGTCGGTCAGAACATGGTATAAGGAAATTCCAGAGAAATTTATGACGACCCAAAAACACACCTAAAGCGTAGTGTAGTTGACTCACAACTTCCCCAAACTTCTATATACCCCCACCAATAGAGAGATGGAAACTCAATTGAGCGCAAATTTTTCGGCTTTAAGTTGTATCCGGTCAATCCAGCTCCATATCTTTCATAACACTCCATTAAAATTAATGAATGAAACACCATCTCGAACGCAAACTTCATCACTCACGCAGACACAATTCACAAATAACGATTGGCGATTTGCCATGCAAATCAAAACCTGCAGCAACGCGTCTATGTTAACGAACAGCTTCGAGTGCATTCGTGGTGAATTCATGCACTTGTTTAGTCTTTTCATTGAATTTGTATTTTTTACGTGGCGCGCCCTAAGTCCATTGCGGGAGGGAGGATTTGAAGATGCACATTTATATAGCGACTCGCTTGTTCCGAGACAGAAGCCCGCTTGCAGCCGCACCTACTGTCGTATTTTACTCCTTTTCTGATGTTTATTTTTCCCTCCCACCATATTGGAGAATTTCACATTTCTTTCTGTTTTTGGTTTAATAAGTACTTCAATTTACGGTTGCATGGTTGATATGGAAAATCTCATACATAAGGATGTACATAAAAACATACATATTTATCATAACCATAACAACCAACTATCTAATGGAATTTGAAGTGTCGTATTGGAATGCAGGGGAAAAAAGGCAAAAGAACTTGATTGTTTACATTCCGTTTATGTTGTTGACTTCGACGAGTTGGTTTTAATGTGACTCGTAATGTGTCGCGTATAGCGATCCGTGTGGTGATCCAGTTGACTGGAGTGTCACCAATTTAGGCGTTCGTTTTTACGTCGACGTGGTCTTTGTTGGGGCAATTTCTTTTTATCATAATATATCAATTATATATATGTATGTAAAGAAATATATGTATGTATATGTAAGTGTTAAGGCAACTAAATTCATACATATGTATGTATGTATGTATGTATATACAAATATTTAATTTGTCATTTTGGACCAGTGCTTGCTACAATGCTGCACAATTGATGTCCATTAGGGTGTTCCGGTTTTATTTTACATATTTTCTTTATGATAACACTAACTGGCTAATTGTTAGCCAGAAAGCATGGCCAAAATTACAATATGACTGCTAAAAATAAGTACAGCTTTAATCTAAAAATAAGTAATTCAAAATAAGTTTCACACTTAATTCGCTTCACCGATTTGTCGTGAGAACCGAACATGTAGAACCGGCCGTTTTGGGAATGAAAATACATCGTCCGCTGAACTAGACCACTTATTCAAATATATATATTAAAGACAGGCCATTCATCAGGAATCAATCAACTCTTTGCCCAACTCTAATCATTTTGAATTCAATCATCGGAGACCAACGCCACCTATCGCAGAGTTAAAACTCGAGTTGGTGCGTGATGCTCGCGATACTTTGACACAGCAGGTTAAACTAATCAGTCCAATTTGAATTAAATGCCACGTCGACACTAACCACCTCTTTACACGCCCACTAGCATCCCTCTTCACACGGCCCGCATCTGTCGGAACTGGTTTATCCCTAAGCCTTCCGTTAGATGAGAATGAAGACAACATGTAGTCGATACACCGATTTAGACAGAGTTTAGCAAGCTGCTACAACAACAAAAAACAGTGAAAGCGTTTCGCTTGGGTTTCCTTGTTTTTTAGGTAATTTTCTGTAGTGGAAAATACTCCAGTATTCTGATATACACATAAAATGAATAAAAATATTCTATGTAGTTCCATTTTCAATAAAACCGGTTTGTAAAAACCGAGTCAATCACTCTAATGTCTATACGTACATACTTATATATGTATATGTATGAGTGACATTGGTATGCCGCACTTGT